GAAATGCGTCTCCCTTCTCCATAAATTGGAAAATATTACACGAAATTAAGAAATTCTGGTATTTATATACGTTTGAGATCAATCAAGCTGAACATTACACATTGCATAGTCATTTTGTTTCATTTGTAGTGGAAATTGTTAACGAACTTTCACCTACTTGTACCATCTTCTGCTAATCCAATTTTGAAGGGCGCGTGTTGCATATCAACAAAAAACATCCGAGGTAACAAAAAATAGTTCGTTAACATAGAATTACAACAACTCAATAATAGTGTGTTTTCCTATACAGAAACAACTTGAAACAAAATATAGCCGTTTTTCACAAGAGTGATCTATAATATAAAAAATCTTGGACGTATAATTGATAATTGATAATGTGTTCGGAAAATTTACATAATCATGATGATATAAAGCGCATGTGCAGTTTGTTCACAAATAATAACCCGTGCAAATTACTGTACATGCTTGCCTCATTCAGACATCTCGAGAGAAGTACTATGGTTTGAAATAAATGATTTTAATGTGTCGATTTCTGTGCGTAACGGACTTGATTGTGGTCGTCGCCTGCTGTAAAACCGGAACGGAGTAGCGTCATCGGATGTCGCAGTTTGTTGATATCGGCCCACACCGCGTCTACTTTCGGTTTATATTTTTCTAAAGCTTTTTCTTTATTTGGTTAGGAAGTAAAATGTCGATATCTTGATAATATTTCCAATTACTTATTGTTTGAAAGAGAAACACGTAAACAAACCGTCATATGCATGAATTCTGGCAAATCAATCTAATGCAAATACGCCGTGTATTTATTTAGAGAAATGGAAACATTTGTACCCAGGTGCGAGACAATTCGATATTTGTCAACAAATAGTTGCTTTTCGTCCACTTTCATTCAATCAATGCCGTTCATTAGCGTTTCAATATAGATGGTTGGCTTAATTGCCTGTTTTGACCAAAAACAAATACTGATTATGGGTCGAGACGTGACCCGCTTGTATCGGAATTGTATTTGCGATAACGGGTAGGGGTCGCTGGGTACAGCGATTAGCATTTTTATAGCTACATGTTAAAATCTATTAACTGGTTAGTAAAGTGGTTGGTATTAGTGGAACATATGCAACAACGAATATTTCGTATTTCGACAATTAAATATACTACTTCCGACTTTGTGATGAAATCGATAAACACATAGGGAGATTTATCATATTGATTAATCAGAAATCAAGTTATGATCGATATATTTTTAAATATTGATCATTGTTACAAATTTTACCACGTTTAACTTTAGATTGCAGTTGGAATATTTATAAAGAAACGAAAACTTATATGGCATTTATAAGCTCATTTGTTGAATAGTGAAATATTTGACATGTTATCTCGAGTAACTGTGCCCAATATAAGCTTTATTAATGGAAAGTGATATTGTTGTCTCGTAATTGAAATCAATAAATATATTTTCAAAGAGGCACGTGCATTTTGAATTGACCCGGCTGAAACTTTTAATAACTGCTTCATTGATTAGCATTGAGGAGGAGGAGGAGCCCGAGACAGTGACCTTTGACCCTACAGGTCTGTGCTCTGACAACGCTGTGGAAGAGGATGCCCCGACAGTGTCATTATATATCTTTAACTTGGTAAACACGGAAAACAGTTGTATCACAACAACCGATAGTAATTTCGTAGAATATAATGCTTTATTTATAGCTTATTATTACCGTGTGTTGTGGTGAAATTTAACAGGATCCAGTTGTGTCGTACCGGCTATACGAAAGTGTGGGTCCTATGATTACCAGAGGACCATATTTCACGATAGAAACAGGCCTATGTAATGCCATCTCACGACTTTCTTTTTTCTTTTATCCTCGTATAATTTCTCAATACTTAAATAAATCATCAAAAACAGGATCCACTTTCCCAACATCCACTTTCTGAATTGTATTGATGAATTTCTGAAATATTCTGTTACTGCGTTCATTCTAAAACCTACAATGCATTTAAAAGATGTGTATTTTTTATAATGATGAATCGGAAACTGTTTAGAAATATCCGGATACCCAGTGGGTACTTAACCTCGTCTAATCTCGCTGTGGAAGAATACAATGGGAACTTCAGTCAACCGTAAAATAATTATACTAGCATCAAAAAGAATACCGATTTGAATTATATCTCATAGCGAATTTATATTTATCATTGAAAAAACCTAAACCATACCTTCCTTGATGTGAAGACACAAAACGAATGATGACCTTTTGATCAGTCCCAAGAATTATCTCGGTTTTATCACTGAATGAATGATAAGGATACAACGAAGAACGTCTAAATAAGTTTTTGTAGCAAAGCGATTAAGATAAACAAGCAATCGTCACAAGCTGAGAAGGAAAACATCCGATTCTGAAGATCGCTTTATCAATTCAAGTGGCAGATTGCATGAAATTCTGTAATAAGGCGATTGTTAAATAAATATATTTTTGTCATTTCGACATCGACAAAGAAACCATTTTAGACTTAAGAGATAAGATAACGTATATGTGATATACAGAAGACATTCGTTCAGGGATAAAAAGATACAAGGTCCTATTTATCTATCGACCTTTTCTTCTTAAAAAAAAAGAAAAGGAATTAAAAAAAAGAGTTTTACATTTTGTAAATGAACGTTTGTTTAAAAAAAAATATGTTGAAATTAAACTATTTTAAATAACTTTATTATTATACCAAAAAAATAGTAATTTGGACAAAAATTTCTATATGGACTTGAACTAATTTTATTGGATAAGTTTAACTTTCATTTGTCTACGTATGATTCTGATACGGTCGTATCTCACGCGCAAACCTAACCAAAAACACATGCCTCATTTCCACAGGTTACACTTCTTCTCCTACATCCGCGAACATCATCTCCGTCTCGCCGTTTATTAAATTTCCTATATGATTTCTATATAACATGTCATTACGTGTCGGGTGATGTGTATGTATGGTTGAGGATGTGTTCCGCATCCTGACAGGCCAGCAGTCCCACCCAGACAACCCTCCCTCTTCTCCCCTGTTTCCCCCTCCCAGTCCTGATCGTCATGGTTTCCCCCTGACAGGTAATTTCAGAAGTCCCATCCAGACAACCCTCCCAATTCCCCTCTGTTTCCCCTACTAGTCCTGAAAGTCGTGGCTTCCCCTTCGAGTCCCAATATCCACAGCTGTAGATCATACTTACAGATGGAAATTTTGTAATTACCGAGATAAAAGGAGCTGTCGTTCTTCAGGTGTGAATGTCACAGGTGATGTTTGATGCAGACAATGACAGTTTACATGCACACTATTTCATCACATCAATAGAATCAATCATATATATATAGTCAACCTTATTTATTTTTCTGTTATTTATGTAAATTAAAATAATAGTTTTCATGTTTTTTAAAATAATTTTCTGAAATAATTTCATATCACAGTCACTGGTACTTCTGTATCATGGTGTTCTTAATATCATAAATTAATTTATATATATATATCTATCTATAAGTGCATCTTATCTCTACATCGTGCATGAACATTGGACAAATTGTGAGTATATATTATCTACGGAATTCACGTTTCAGTCATGGCTTCCAACTGAGAGAATGTAAATTGTCATTTTCAATGAAAATGCCCTGTATTTAAATTCGTAAACAGATAATACTTATCGCCGGGATAAATTGATAGACTAGCCAAGTTTACAAGAACGTGTCAACTTCAATTTCTAACGCTGTCAGATGAATAGTTTATCATAGGTTCCAGTTAGATTTATCTTTTTATTTAGTCCTATCAGGTTTTATCAAAACAATATCTAGACAAAAATTTAGCAATGTCTTTATTTGTTTTTACTGATAATTTACACGAAAACATTAACAAAATTTAATCTAGTTTTAGAAAGATTATGTGTAAGACTACTATAAAATTTACTTCTCTGAATTTAATTTCATACATAGACTAGAAGTTAATGAGATGTGATATCCAAACTTATTGGCATTTCCTAAACAATTATGATTAAGATAATACTTTATCAAAAGAATTGCACATATGGAAAATTCCAAATTTGCTTAATTCTGTTTCAGTATTTAATTTACTACATTCTTTAAACTTGTAAAAAAAACCTAATTTACAAGAATTAAATTTTTGGATAATAGAAGATCAAACAAACACATCTGTTTGTATGATAACAGGTATATTGTACAAATGTCTGATTCTACATTAACCTGTATCTGTGGAAGTAAACAGCTATCGTGCCACCAGAGAGGCAGGTCGATATGTAACAGTAATAAAACGGTACAGTATGATACCTGTACTTCATGAGATGTTTGGTTCCAGATTTTTTTTTCAGCCGAGAATTGATTGAGCTTCTGTTTCTGAAATCTTGGCGTCATTTGTCTGTTTGTCACCGTTTCCTTGTATTTCTATATTTATTGAATACTAAGTGTTTCATATTCCAATTTTCTATTGAAATATCAATAGTCAATACATGCTTTTATTATGTAAAGAGATTGTTGAATAGACAAATTGATTGGCATACATGTAAATTGGTATATTTTTGTAAACCATGAATTTTTGGTCATTTTCAATTGCAATATGGTTTAATTAGACAGTGACGAAAATATAGATATATATTATTTAGAAACGTCACAAGATTTCCTCTCTAATTATCTGATAATTGATGTAAATAAAATGTATAGATATTGATTGCTAATTCATAGGGTGCGTCTCTCAACAGATAGGGTTAAATAGGTACACTCTGACCAAGAAAACAGGGCTGGGAAACATATCCTCTGTGAATCATGCAAAACCTACTAATGTTGCAGGGTACACATAAAAAATGAATTGAAAACTTAAAAACAACTACATGCAAGAATATTGATAGCAGAATGGTGAAGTACGTTTTTATAAGGACTACTAGAATAAGAAATTATCTGCATGTCCTTCATACAACATTTATATATATATATATGAAATAAAATGTTCTCAAATTAATTTTAACTTACTTGGAATTTGTGCAATCGTCATAGAGGATGTCGAATTCTTTACACGAGATCAGCTTACATCGGTTGACGCCAGGTTGGATGGAGCCCAACCCCCGGAGAATTCGCACCTGTTCGACATTGCAGACCACGGGTAGAATGTCCAGTCGTTTGAGTTTTGTGTAGACTGTGTGAAGTCCTCCCACAAGATGTTTCAGGAAAAGTTCAAATGCCTGGGGCAGACAGATAAGTTCCCTGCCGTCCACCACAAATGCTGCAACTTTTGCATTTCTATATTCAATTAATTTACAAATATTGTTGTCAGGATTACAAGCTATGGGCGGTGGCGAGCTGTAAGTAGTAGCTTTGTGTAGTTTACTCAGTAAACTATTGTTGTGATTAACCGTTGGAATCATCCCGTGTGTGAGGCTGATCGTCCCGGGGGTAGGTCCAGGGCTAGAGTGGGCCCGAGGGGGTGAGGGATAGGAATCGCCTTTCAAATGTCCGAGTGGAGACTCCATGTAGTCTGAGCCGATAGTATGCATGTACACCTTCTACTATCGACTGCTTGGAAATATAAAATGCTGCTTTCTCTTTACAACTGTATATATATCCTTCAACGGAAAATATTTTTTGAAGAATTGATTCAATAGTCCTGTCACTTCAATGTAGAGATCCCAACCGGATGGAAATGATCCGCTATTATTACCTCAACTGAATCAATCGTAAAGACTCTAACCGTGGCGACACAATAATAGCCCTGCACACAGATATTATTCCTATAAGCGTGTTTTTGTAAGATAAATACAACCTCGCTACTTAGGCCTGACATGTGCCTAATCGGGGCCTGGGAGCTTACTACTGCGCATGACCACACCGGAACTATTTTACAACGTAAACACGGGGTATTGCACACACGCTCTGACAGGGCCTATGACATGTGTATACGGACATGTGATAGATGTCAGATATATTACAAGGGGTGTTTTGTGATACGTCTGAAGACGTGGTGCGGGCGGAGTTTAAATTCTATGATACATTTAACGTAAGGAAACATAATGTTATATCAACGATTCTTTCTCTGATGTTTAAATACCACTAACATTGACTAATCTCACGAAGAAATATGTTACGCCTCAAATAGAAATTCCCGAAATCAATGAAAAGTAATAGGTTACATATCAGGCATTATTTCAATCGATGGATGGATTCACAGGCAATGACCAGGAAGTGTGAAAAATGAAATGGTTCGTCCCGAAACATGATTGGAAAAGATATATCAATTTTTATTTTCCCTGACAAGGCAGATAAATTAATTGATGACCTTAATTTAATTGCTTTTCATACGAGTAGGGATACGTTAGCATTTAGTTGGATGTTTCCGTTCTGTCAGCGTTTCGCCTCTTAGTACATCAAAGATTGTTTTTCTAGTTTTCAAAGATTCTCTTTATCTGTAATCAATTGTCCATGTGTGTATATGTGGCTTTGATAGAATATAAACACTACCATACCATCGATACGCCGAACGAATGAAAATGATGAAATGCGTGTACAATCTAATAACCTTTCGTTTGATTGTTTGAAATTGGTTTGAAACTAGAGTTTTGCCCCATTCTCTGGCTTTGTGAGCTGGACGTTTAGTCCTTTTTATGTGCAGTCGAGTCGGGTTAATTAACTTAGAATAACAAACGCATAAAGTACCAATAAAACATCAAAAATGGTTAATCAAATGAGGAAACTAAAAACGGACATGGTTGAAACGCTTGCGTCGGAAATATGTTTTCTGTCGGTTTTTTTGTTATGATATGCCGTATCATTGGTGTTGTGCGAGAGTTTGGCTGAGGAAGGGGCACTCAGTTTGCATCGTATAAAATTGTCTCGATAAATTGATATCTATTAGTTAAAGTAGAATTAATGGATTTTTATACAAAGCGTTAAAACCGATTCACCAAATTATACATTTTATGCACTTTTTATAGCCTCGTTTTGAATTTCTGCTCGGAATCACTAAAACAAAACAAAATAACATGATTTGTAATGTTTTCTAGAAAATCACACTTATCTTTCTTATAATATATCTCGTCTAGTCGTTTCTATATTTCACAAATATTTAATTTGATTTGAGTAAATAATCTCAGATGTTATCTTAATTCCTTCTTGTACGTTCGAGGCGACGACGGACTTCTAATTGCTTCGTATATAGGGTATTAAACCACATGCGATTGTCCCTATCAGCTGTGACGTAATATTAGGGTCAGCCGAATCCATGACCTCTCCTTCGGCGTTCCTTTGTGAATATAAACAAGGTCAACATAATGTCCAACAACAGATGAAGGCACAGACATTTGTGACCAAATAACAGATAAAATTACAGAATTGTCGCGAGGGTCTTTATTCCGAATGATAGGCGGGCTGAGAATTGTGAAATTTAATCTCGACTTCTGTGTGTCAATCGGAAGCGGAGATTTGACATGGTCCAACTTCATACGAATTGTGCTCTCCTCAACGACCTGTTAATGGACTCGCCAAATTGTGACCATATTTTATTTTCATACTTCAAGCTGTGGGAAAGCGTAAACGGTTGTTATAATTTTGGAATGAGAAATCATTCCCTAGAGAAATAGATGTATATTTACAACATTAATTGTTTTGTCGTGTTTTCCTGTTGTTTATTTTTCCCTGTTTCTGCTGTCTACTGTAAGCAAATTTATTTCTCTCTTCTATAATAAAAACTATAAAGATGTCATTTTTACTCTATGAAATATGAAACATACTTTATTGTTAAAATAAATTGAAATACAAATATATACATAAAACAGTCGAACAAATATTAAATATAAAAAAAAAATCCAATTAAAGTAAAAATATTTGATTGATAGATTCAGCGTGAGTCAATACTATATGTCAAACTGATATGAGAAAATGTAAGCAAGAAGGCAGATAACCAACACTATCTCGTCCGTAGTAATTGATTTCCGTCGATTCCACGGCACCACACAGCAAAGGTAAGGGATGTGTCTATGGGGTGATTGACAGGCTGTGCGATAACAACGACGATATATTGGAAGAAATAAAATGCGATGACATCCCCTTATCGGGGTGCTAACACAGACAGCACGTGACACTTATGGCAGAATAAGGGGACATCACCACACAGTCCAGTGCTTGTTTATTACATCAGGCGCGCGAGAGTTTTACCGCCAATTTACATGTCAGCGTAATTTATTCCGCTGTCTCTCTGTTACGTATGCTAACACAGCAGGGCACGCTGCCAGTTGGGGGCGGGGTTATTTGGGTGTTCCAGGCTTACACCTACCACCCCCTACTATTTTTACCATCTCAATGTCACATGCTCTGATTTATAATGCGACATCTTTAATTGTGCCTTGGAATTCCTTTGCCATATTAAAATTGTAAATATGCCATTGGTTTGTTATTTAAAATGTAACAACATTTCATTAGTAAATATTTGTCAATAATAAATTTTAATGAATTAGTAGCTCTTAATTGTCTAGTGTTTCTATTTTATACATTCAGTAATGACAAATGTTGGGATAAAGGTATATATAAATACCATTAGAAGTTAACTCAATCACTAACGAACTGCTCAATCAATACTTACACCTGTGTAAAATCTGTACCCACGGACATCTGTCAAGGCTCTGCCATTTCTACATCATCAAACCCTGCTTTTATTGTCGTTCACTCTCCCGTGAGGAATTAGAATCGATTTGCTTGACAAACAAAACAAAAAACTAATTACATGTAATAGTATTGGCATACCAGCATCATCAACAGCGCGTGCTGGTTTTCCTCGGTGCTGATGTTTCATCGACGCTGTCATCGAAGAAGATGACAGTATCTAAATCATTACGATATCTAAATTAACATGCTGTTGTCGAATAGAAAATTGTAGATGGCGCAAACTTTCAAGAAAATGAAGATCGAATCAACAGCGTATTTTCAGTGAGAATTATACATCCCTTAAATAAATAGCTTTATATATCTTTTTCTATTAATAGTCTTCTATAACCATGTTTTACAAAACGTAGTATGATCAAGATGTGTCGTTATTTACCGATAGGATACCACATTTTTCAGACTTTTAGTCCTTAATTTTGGTCAATTACCAGGATTTCAATACTTTCTTAAATGATGTTTACAACACATTTTGTTAAATAAATTATAATAAATAATGAACTTGAGTAAATGTTTTAAAAATGAAAATATAAAGTGTACAACAGAATTAAGACACATTCCATACTCACTACATTGACAACTGTAAATTTTATTTAAAAAAAAAATAAAAAGAACTAAAATGTTTTAAATCTACTTAATTTCACCGCAGCATGGAATCATAATTCTTAATCATTTTAAACTTGGAGACAAATGAATGAAGATGCCTGTATTTTCGCCAGAGATCAAGGTCATTATAAACTGGATTACTGAAAATTGAACAAAGCAATCTATTTTCCGTGTTCAATTTAAATGTAGATGCATGGCAAATATTTGGTGTGTACTGTGGAGTTGTATATTGTTGTAGATGTATCTCAGTACTTAGTAGCGACTTCAGGATATAAATCCAGCATGTCTCCATTTGATAAGACTCCCAAGTTTTCAGACAGAAACCGCAAATCACCGGCAAATAACAAAATACAGGAAAACCTCCTATTTCATTAACCAGATAGAATATATACATGTAAGTATTGTAATATACATACCATACACGTACAATGATTGTGTGTTGAGTCTTTGATATACAACACAGGACATTGCTGATGAAAATTATACCACCGGTGAAATGTATACACGGCAGGGCTAATTACTAGCCGTGTGATAAACAATGCCGCGCCCTAACTGATGTAGGATGCCGTAGATATGATCCTCAATCGTAATCGCAATATCTTTACATAAATAAATTTCAATATTTCAATACGATATCATTATTTGTTTATCATAATTTTATTTTTCTTAAAATGCGGAATGATTCTCAGGTAGAGACTTAGCAGTAAAAGTTATATTATAGAATCCCGTTTTATGTGATCTTTAAGTTATGCTGTGAATTCATACATTTCCACGAGAAACTCTACAGCAAAAGTATTGATACATGTTTGTACACATTTTTACTCTTTTTATTTTTAGATCATCTCAAGGAAACTTACTTAAAACTTAAAACTTAAAATAAATATGTGTTTATTTTCAAAACTACAGAACCTCGCCTGGAATCAAAACCTATTAGATCTCTTCTAGACTGAGGACCTATCGGGATCTCACGTAAACTGAATGAATTCTCAGTCCCAGATCAATAAATCGGCACTTACAGATCATTCCTCACAGCAAAATCATATCCTTGACTGCAAAAATTCTAAAATAGTCGACGGGGAAAAAACCCTTTTCAGGCGGCTGGCTATGGAGGCCATCTGGATACACCGCAGCGGATAAGTACTAAACAGGGACGAGGGGACCACAGATTCTAGCACATCAATGACTAAGTATAAAACAAAGCTAAGCCGAATCGATGTCATTACATTGTAACCATCTTGTGTACTTTTTGTCAATTACCTCTTTATCATCTCGTAAAACTGATGATCTATTGAATCTCACCTGGACTGATGATCTATTGTATCTCACCTGTACTGATGATCTATTGAATCTCTCACCTGGACTGATGATCTATTGAATCTCACCTGGACGGATGATCTCACCTGGACTGATGATCTACTGAATCTCACCTGGACTGATGATCTA